TTGGTTTTTATTTGAAAACAAGTCTTTCCAGTCTAATTGATCCTCATTAGACAAGCTTATCAATCAAGGTTATCAATGTAATAAACCAGCTGTGAATTGCATCCAATGCATTTTACATTCTTCTTTAAATAAGAAGACCAAAACTACACACAGTATTTGAGATGCAGTCATAATGATTCCTGTATAACTGAAGAATAAACATATATTTGGCTTCAATTCCCCTCATAAGGGATAACTTTCCATTAAACCTTTTTGATTTTCCGCTGTACACCTGCACTGTAACTTTCTGTGACTCATGCACAAGAAAACATGGTTCCCTTTGCATTTCAGAATACTGCAGTGAATGGGAGTTTAATTTATTCTATTTTGCTCGTAACTAACCCTTCAATTAAGAAAGATATTGTTATTAATCTTAAGCATATTTCAGTTAAAACAAATTAATTTAAGTAAAGGTGGAGGGTTGTTTTTTGGACAGGAAGCTTGTGACCAGCGGTGTTCAACAGGGATCAGTGCAGCGTCCACTTTTGTTTGTCATTTATAGAAATGATTTCGATGAGAATATCAGAGACGTGGTTAGTAAATTTGTGGATAATATCAAAATTGGTGGTATGGTGGACAATGAAGAAGGTTATCTAAGATTACAAAGAGATCTTGATCAATTGGGTCAATGAAGTGAAGAGTGGCAGATGGAGTTTAATTTGGATAAATGCGAGGTACTGCATTTTGGTAAAACAAACAAGTGCAGGACTTATACAATTAAAAGTAGGGTCTTGGGTAGTGTTGTAGAACAAAGAAAACCTAGGGGTTCAGGTACATAATTCTTTGAAGTTTGCATCACATATAGATAGGGTGGTTAAGAAGCCATTTAGCATGCTTGCCTTCATTACTCAGACCTTCAAGTATTGGAGTTGGGACGCTATGTTGAGGTTATACAGGATGTTGGTGAGACCTCTTCTGGAGTACTGTATCCAGTTCTGTCGCCCTGTTACAGGAATGATATTATTAAGCTGGAGAGGATTCAGAAGGGATTTACCAGGACATTGATAGGAATTGAGGGTTTGAGCTATGGGGAGCGGCTGGATAGGCTGGGACTTTTTCAGTGGAGCATAGGAGGTTGAGGGGTGACCTTCTAGGGGTTTACAAAATCATGAGGGGTAAAGATAAAGTGAATAGTGTCTTTTCCCCAGGGTGGGGGATTTCAAGACTAAGGGTCTTATTTTTAAGATGAGAGGAGAAGGATTTAAAAAAGAAGACATGTGCGGCACTTTTTTTTTGTTTACAGAGTGTTTTACAGCTCATGTGTGGAATGAACTTCCAAGGAAGTGATGGATGTGGGTACAGTTACAAGACATTTGCATTTGTACATGAATTAGAGCTGTTTGGAAGGATATGGACCAAGCACAGGCAGGTGAGATTGTTTAATTTGGGATTATGGTCAGCATTGACTGGCTGGACTGAAGGGTCTGTTTCCGTGCTGTATGACTCCATGAAAGAAGTTATGCTGAATCCATTACCTTCAGAAGTTGTTTTCCAACTGTTGGACTCATCTTTTCGTCTACCATAAGAATAACAATTCCTCTTTCATCCATGCCACGTCTTCCAGCTCGACCTGACATTTGAATGTATTCCCCTGAAGAGATCTATTAGAAAGAAAGTAAACTGTATTAACATGTTTTTAATCTTTGAAAGTTTACCACTGCTGCAATGATTGAACAACTTTAATTGACCAAGTATAAATGGATTAATAAATACACAAAACTGAATGAAATGAAAATTATGAAAACTACGAAGCTGTTGGAACTATTTATGAGCCGGAATACTTATCGTCATGCATACAATATTTACAACTTGAACTTGGAAGTACTGGAGAATGAATTGCTTTGCTCATTAAACAATCAAATGGAACTGACATTGACACAGATAAGGCTACAGGAATTCTATACATTAACTGACAATTGTGATTTTTTGGGGAATGAAGAAAATGGAAGAGATTAATGCAATGTACATATATGAACGGTTACAGATCCTAATTACAAACAGACGGAATCATAGAAGTGATTCTTGAAAACACTGATTAAAAAAGAAATTCCAAATTTTGGGGAATAAGAACAAACTTGGACTTATTCAAATGTACCAGCTGTTCAATGTACTCAGCCAGACTATGTTTTTTTTGGATTCATTTTCTCTCTCTGTCTTCAGGCCTATCCACATTTCTGGGTTCCACTGAAATAAGCAAATCCTGTCTGGGCCACTGCAACCTTAGCACATATCTATCACCTAAACGGCAAAGGAAGCCTAAAATCAACAGGACACCTGCTCTTGGGCTCATAACAGTTTATAGCAGATAGATCCATCTTTAATGATCAAAGCCTGCAGCTGTCACAAGAATAAATGCACAGAATTGTGGAAACAAGGAAAATGGTGTAAAAAAGCATTGGTGCAAGTTACAGAAAATTCCAAGTATTAAAACAGTTTGACTTTGCAAATATACCATAAAACAGTGGCCTGGATTAGAATCAGATGTGAGTTACGGAACATGACTCTCCACAGTACTGGTCCACAGTACTGGTAAAAATCTCAGAACCTTGTGCAATAATCTTAGTCACTGCAAACTGGTAGAATAAAAACATAATCCGAGAAAATAGAATGTTTCTTAAACAGCAACTTTAAACAGAAAATACAGATCTTGAATTTCAGCCTTTGCTGAAGCCTTCAATGACATTGAAATTGGTATTTCATTAAAGTTAGAAAAAATAGAAAAATAGGAATATAAATAGCATGAAGAATAAATCTACATAAGATTGGTAGATGAAAATAATTAGAAGCTGTAGGTGCAAGGTGGATAAAAGCACATGGAGGGAGCAAGGGAGCCTGAAAAGTCAACAGGAATCTCAAGACAATAATGTGACAAAATTTGCTCATTGCTTCCCCTCAATAATCCCAATAAAGTGAGATACCCAGCTATGAAAATTTGTGCACTTGATGGCATACCATACATCAAACTTACCCACTGCAAAGGAATTCCAAGATAAAACACTCTTCAAAGCTGGCTTGGAAAATAACTCAGTACAGTTTATTTTCACTATTTTGACAAAGTATTTAAACAGACTTTTGTAACTTAAATAGCAAGACAAGTGTTGTGAGCAATGTAAAAACATGAGAGAAAGGTAAATTCTCCATACCCAACGGAAATCTTTCCCATCAAATTTGCGGGCACTGGTGAACAAAACTGTCCTTGCAGGCATGTTGATGCCCATAGCAAAGGTCTCTGTTGCGAATAATGCCTAGAAAATGAATTATTGTAAAACTGAATCACATATAGACATTTGTATGCAAGTGTAAATCTTTTAACTTAAGAGTAGGGTGCTGTGTTCACTTGTTTGTCATTTGAGTCATAAGTGATTTGGATGAGAATATAGGAGGTATGCCTAGTAAGTTTGCGGATGTCACCAAAATCAGTGGTAATAGTCGACAGTGAGGAAGGTTACCTAAGATTACAAAGGAATCTTGATCATTTGCGCCAACAGGCCGGGGAGGGGCAAACGGAGTTTAGTTTGGATAAATGTGAGGTATTACGTTTCAGTTAAGATGAACAAGGGCAGGACTTACACAGTTAATGTTAGGGCCATAAGGACTTTTGGAGAACTGACAAACCTAGGGGCTCAGGTATATAGTTCATTCAAAGTTGCATCACAGGTAGGTAGAATGGTAAAGTAGGCATTAGGCATGTTTGCCTCCATTGATCAGATCATTGAGTATAGGAGGTGGGATGCCATGTTGTGGATATACAGGGTGTTGGTGAAGCCACTTTTGGAGTACTATATTCGGTTCTGGTTGCCCCACTCTTGGAAGGATATTATTAAATTGGAGAGGGTGCAGAAAATATTTACAAGGATGTTACCAGAACTGGAGGGTTTTAGTTATAAGCAGAGATTGGATTAGCTGGGACTTCTTTTTTTCCACTGCAGCATAGGAGGTTGAGGTATGACCTTATAGAGTTTTATTAAATCATAAGGGGCATAGATAAGGTGAATGGTAAAAGTCTTTTCTCTATGGTTGAGGAGTTCAAAACTAGAGGGCACACTGTTAAGGTGAGAGAAGAAACATTTAAAGGAACCTGAAAGGCAGCTTTTTCACACCATGGGTGGCGCATATGTAGAATGAACTGCCAGAGGAAGTGGAGGGTGCAGGTACAGTTACAACATTTAAAAGACATTTGGACGGATACATGAACAGGAAATGTTTAGAGGGATAGGGGCCAAATGCAAGCAAATGAAACTAGTTTAGTTTGGGGGACGTGGCTCGCATGGATGAGTTGGACCAAAGGGTCTGTTTTGTGCCACCTGACTCTACAACTATGATCAATCTGTATTACTTAGAACAGAAGGCTGATATCAAGTAATCATTAATACAGACTGACACGCCATCTGGTTGTACCATCCATTACAAAATATAAAAACCATCTTTATCACACTGCATTGGTTCAAAGTGGGGTCTTTAGGTCAATGAAAGATGTGCAACATATGCTGCCTTTTCTTGCAATATTCCAAGATGTGAAACTTCTTTGTGAAATTAACAGAGATTAGGATTTTATAACTGCACCAGGCCAAACAAAACAAGAAGGATTTTACTTTCAAGTATTGTTCTCTGAAATTGATACAATTTTAAAATATACCTGTTTGAATTTGAACACAGGTCACTAAATGTAAACATTTAACAAAAGGAATAGGAGTATTCTATTCAGTCTCTCAAGACCGCTCAGCCAATGTAATTAGATTGTGGTTGATCTATATCTCAACTCCATTCACCTGGGATCCTTTTCCTTGATGCACATATCTAATAAAATTCTGTCAATCTCAGTTCTGAAATTTTCAAGTGAACCAACATTCGAAACATTAGAGGGAAACAACTCAAAATTTTCACTGTTCTTTCAGATAATGTGTTCTGATTACATTCCTGAATAGTCCAGTGCAAACATTATGATTCTGTTCATTTGTTCTTTCAACCATGATGATCAACATTTCACACAATATTTTCAAGTTGCATGCGAGCAATAATATCCTCCAGCTAAACAATGCCCTAAAATCACCCTATCTTTCGATCATATATTACATTCCAGCCAGTCATTCCATTCTCAGAGAGTCATAGAGCCATACAGCACGGAAACAGACGCTTCGGTCCAACCAGTTCATGCTGAACATAATCCCAAACTAAACTAGTCCCACCAGCCTGCTCTTGGCCCATATCCCTCTAAATCATTCCTATTCATGTTCTTACCAAAGTGTTCTTTAAACACTGTAACCGTGCTCGCATCCACCACTTCTGCAGGAAGCTCATTCCACACATGAACGACATTCTGTGTAAAAAGTTTGCCCCTTACGTCTTTTTTAAATCTCTGTACAATGTTCACTCAGTCTAAAGTCAATGGTTCTAACATGCATGTCCTAATTGATCTTAAGTGGAGTTTCAAATCTGACTTCCAGACCTTGACCAAGATTATCCAATTTCAATAATCAGATGCCACTTACTTCCATTCCTAACTCACCCACACTTTGACGTTTTCCTCACTCTCTGCCAGCCCCACGAAACCTCCAGATTGCTTGCAACGACATGCAATGAAGTCCCACCCACTCACCACCTTATTCATACCATGTTCTACCAACCCCTTAACACACATATACAAGACACTCCAAGATTAACTTTACCTTCAGGAGTCCTTCAGAGAAGAGAATTTCAATGGTCTCTTTCAAAATAGGAAGCAAACCACCATGGTGAATTCCAATTCCTCGTTTTAAAAGAGGTAGCACATGTTCGACCTGGTTACATAAGAATTAAAATGTCAATAAATAACATTCCAATAACATATGTATTGAGATTGGGGATAATGTGATAAAGGAGAGAGACTTGAAATCGAAAAGGCTCACTGCTCTCTCAATCCCCTGTTTCCTGAAGGTAGCAAGTTTAGATTGAACCATGAGCATTGTGAGCTTTCTGCCACCTCAGTCCAAGTGGCCACGCTTCAAGTGAAAGCCAGGCATGTTGAGCAAGATATAGTCTGCAACTGGTATCCAGTACCACTCAATTTCTACAATCATTGTATTTCATATTAAACGTTGTGAACGCATCAGGGATGTGTAGATTAGGTAGTTATAGGGGGATAGGTCTGGGTGGGATGCTCTGGTGTGGACTTGTTGGGCCGAAGGGCCTGTTTCCACACTGTAGGGATTCTATTTTACGGATGACACCAAAATTGGTTGCATAGTAGACTGTGAAGAAGATTTTCTAAGATTACAAAGAGATCTTGATCAAATGGGTCAATGGGCTGAAAAAATAGCAGATGGAATTCAATTTGGATAATACAAGGTATTGCATTTTGGTACAACAAACAAGGGTATAGCTTATACAATTAATGGCAAGGCTTTGGCTAGTGTTGTAGAACATAGGGACTTAGGGGATCAGGTATATAATTCTTTGAAGTTTGCATCACGTACAGATTGGGTGGTTAAAAAGGCATTTAGCACGCTTGCTTTCACTGCTCAGTCCTTTGAGAATAGGAGTTGGGAAGTCATGTTGAGGTTGTACAGGACATTGGTGAGGCCTTTTCTGGAATACTGTCTCGTTCCAGTTATAGGAAGGATATTATTAAGCTGGAGAGGGTTCAGAAGAGATTTACCAGGATGTTGCTGGGTATGGAAGGTTTGAGTTATAAAGAAAGGCTGGATAGGCTAGAACATTTTTCACTAGAGCATAGGAGGTTGAAAGGCAACAAAGTTTATAAAATAATGAGGGGCATGAATAGAGCTAATGAAAGTTGTCTTTTCGTAAGATTGGGGCATCTCAAGACGAAAGGGCACAATTTTAAGGCGAGAGGAAAGAGATTTAAAAAGGACGAGAGGAAAAGTTTCTTACACAGAGGGTAGTTCGCATGTGGAATGAATGTCCTGAGAAGTGCTGGATGTGGGTACAATTACAATGTTTAAAAGACATTTAAATGAGTATGTGAATAGGAAAGGTTTGGATGGATTTGACTGGATTAGTTTGGGATTATGTTCGGCATGGACCAGTTAGACCGAAGAGTCTGTTTCCGTGCTGTATGACTCTGAAGAACAGGTGTGTGCCTTCTTTGAACGGGGGGAACAAGCGTGCCGGAGAGGCAGCGCGTGGGGGGTGAAGCGAGAGTGAGTGAGTGAGCGAGTGAGTGAGCAACTGAGCGTGACAAAGAGAGAGAGTGAGAGTGCATGCGAGTGAGTAATATTACGTACAATATTAATTTTCGAAGAAAATTCAGCCTATCGAGCCTCAGATCACTAAGATCAGAGCTGCTCGTGTTGTGGTCTCAGCTCCAACCCTAAACTCCCTTTACATCCCAAGCTATTAAACTCAGATTTGAATAAATTTAAAGATCCAGCCTTTACTAGTGGGAAAGGGAATTCCATACACTAACAAACCTTTGAGTGTGATTTAATGTTCACTTTCTCATGCAGCTGGAGCACTGCAAAATGACACTAACTAGCATAACTGAAGAAAGCAACATTTTAGATTCAATATTTCCTAAAATACTGAGGCTAAATTTGTCTTACTGCTGGGACCTACGTGAACAAGGTACCTGATTTGGTACCAAAACACTCACCTGAGGAAGTTTTTTATCTTCATCAGACAAGCAGTCAATAGCATTGTTGAAAACCTCTTCCACGAGTTTCTTTTCATCATCTGAGGGGAAATAATTATTTCTAATATACGTAACTGCATAAATTCACTCTTTACAATTTTATCACCGAAGCAAAGCGTTCACAATCATTTTTTTTAAAAAAGCAATTTCTGATGATAAAATTAAATATGAAGGGAAAGTTCTTCCCAATTTATCTTTTCACTTTTATTTTTCAATTTCTCATTAAGATCAGAAGTAGCAGCTGGTCACAAGACCCAATACAGAAGGCAAATGAAAATGACTAGTTTATGCTTATTAACCAACATTTGGTACTATTTCACTTCATCAAATCTAACCAACTATGACATTTTTGGGCACAAACTCAGTAAAAAAAAACATGGAAGTGCACTTCCTGCAACTTAAACAAGCTGGCATATACTCCTTGTTTACATATTTATTAAACTCTATCTTGGGGATCTCAACAAGTTAAGTCCAGTTCCCAATTGGTGGGCAGCATCTCCTTGCAATGTTGAAGTCTCTAATGCCGAATTTGATACAGGCTTTCAATTGAGAAGCCAGGCAACAATGGGATATCTCATCATGAGAAACGACTTGTAACATTCAAGACAAATTTGAGTCTTCCATTTAACATGAGGGCTAAAGCTGATGACAATGCAAGATAATAATACAAGACAAATATAAAAATTGAAATGTGAGAAACTGAACTAAAAACTTTGATTAAATGGTTATCTGTATACTGAAAACCTAGTGAACAAACTTCAATACTGACTACTGAACAATAATTATATTTCCATGCATTGGGAGACAAAAGCCAACAGCAAGTATTCAGTATTTTTGTATTTTGTAGACTTCACGGTGGGGCAGAAAAGAACAGATGGAAAGCATCAAATTAAGGAAGAGCACAGAAAAGTAAGAGAAAGTGTTTTGAACATCCAGCATGTCAAAAGGATCCAAACAAGGTCACCTTCCCTTGTTAGGTGACAGCAATTCCTAACAATAAGCGAAAGTTGAACAAACAAGGAAGAAAGCAGTTTTCTTGAGCCAACAATGAGTTATAGGATTACTGTTATCTCTTTCAACAACCACAAGCAGGCAATGTTTGTAAAAGACTGTAGATACAATTAAACTGCCACAAAGATTCCTTTACAATTTACCTGGATCAAAGTTTCAGTGGTTATTTATTCTGGCAGGTACAATGAAAACCATCTTTGAGTAACTCGAGACAACACAGTGTGGAGCTGGAGGAACACAGCAGATCAGGCAGGATCAGAGGAGCAAGTAAGTCGACTTTTCAGTCAGGACCCTTCACCAGGACTTTCCTACTCCTCTGATGCTGTCTGACCTGCTGTGTTCTTCCAGCTCCACACTGTGGTGACTCTGACTCCAGCATCTGCAGTTCTTGCTATCTTTGAGTAACTTGAAGTGTTTCTTGACAAAGTATGTAATTTTCTTTCTGAAGGGAACTGCTCAATATTCTACTTCATTGCAACGTGTTGGAAATTACTCAGTCTTCTAACTCACAAACCACACTACTCCCATCACACTATTGGGTCACAACGTTTCTTTTGCTAACCACAAAAAGCTCAAGCTTACATATGTGGTGTGCGCATTTCAGTGAAGTCAATATACGAGCATCTAAAACCACTGAAGAATTCTGAATTTGTTCAATTTCAGTCAGAAATAATTAAAAATTAACCCAGTTTTCACGACTCGAAGAGATCCAACTGTGACATTTTTATTCATAGCATTCGGGAGTAAGCTTCACAAAATCGCAAAGAATACCCTTGGAAAATTTCTTGAACTAAGTTTAATCCTGTTTTCAAGTGACAGAGTCATAGAGATACACAGCTTTGAAACAGACCCTTCGGTTCAACTTGTCCATGCCGAAAAGATATCCTGAATTAATCTAGCCCCATTTACCAGCATTTGGCCCATATCCCTCTAAACCCTTCCTCTTCTTACACCCTTCCAGATGCTTTTAAATGTTGGAATTGTACCAGCCTCCACCACTTCCTCTGACAGCTCATCCTAAACACGCACCACACTCTGCGTGAAAAAGATATCCCTTAGGTCCCTATTATATCTTTCCTCTCTTACCATAAACCTATGTCCTCTAGTTTGGACTCCCATACCCTGGAGAAAAGACCTCGGCTGTTCATCCTATCCATGCTGCTCGTGATTTTATAAACCTCCAAGGTCACCCCTTAACCTCTGATGTTCCATGAAAAATAGCCCCAGCCTATTCAGCCTCTCCCTACAGCTCAAACCCTCCAACCCTGGCAATAACATCGTAATTCTTTTCAAAACCCTTTCTAGTTTCACAACATCCTTCCTATAAGAGGGAGGCCAGAATTGCATGGAATACTTCTCTTTAGGAAATATGCAACACAAAGACATTGGAGTTGCTGGGGGGTTCGCTAGTGATTGCTTCCTGGTCTTCGCCAAGACCAACTCCAAATGAAACCGACACAATTTTTTCTCAGAAACTCAAAAGTTTCTTTACTCTATTAATTCACAGGATGTGGGCAAGGCTAGCATTATTGCCCATC